ACCAGTGGAGTAACACCAGAGTAAATACAAGGTCCATCATTTCTAGATGACTGTCAGCAGTACTGATCCCACCTCCAGAATGCAGATTTCTACAAAGCAATCTTCTTTTTTCTTAAACTGTCAGAATAAAATTGCACATCAAAACTGTTTCAGTTTTAAGAATCAGTTCCCTTCTGTATAGGTTTGCAAGCTAGCTATATGCTGTTTCTGTCTCCAATAAATAAGCTCCACACCACTCTTCAGCTCGTATCCAGAGCTGCAAGGCATAATTAAAATATATCGTCAGTTCTCCATTTTTCATACTCAACTATTGAATGGTCTTTGATATGTTGAAATTTTACATCCCTTCTGAGTTAATGTTAGAAGCACTATAAGAAGTAATGATCAAAGAGCAATTACCCAGCAAGGTCAGAAAAAGAAGCACTCTAATGAGAAGTATTGAGTGTAATTGGAAGCTGTATTGAGAAATGTTATCTGAAGGAGGCAGAAGCTTTCAAGAACTGTGTCCTTATGGGAAGTACCCTCCTTGGGCATTATGAAAAGTAGCAAGCTTATTTAACATGAAGATTATTACTTTTTTTTTTTTTTTTTTTAACTGCAATGTTTTACCCATCTTGTAATGTATATATATGATAGGTGATTTACATAAACTCTTTTAACTCTTTAAAGTCTTTTATTTTCCTACATAAGCGTCATCAATTTAGTGTCCTTTTTCCTGCCTTGAGAAGTAACAGAATTTTAAAGAATATTTTTTAAAGCATGAATATTATTTGTAACTGTTACATCTTCTGGTTGTATTATTTTTACTATCTGCTGCGTCCTTAGGAGTGCCTCATATTAATAAATCAGTGTGCTTCAAAGATGGATGGAAAAAAGGGAATGGGAAAAAAAAATATGGCAAGAAGAGTTGCTTAGATTTGTCTCCTATTAGGAAATTAGCAGTTTGTGACATGAGGCACTGGTTGCCCTCAGAGCTTTCTTCACTTAGTCTGGAGTTTGCAGAAACGCCTCAGGAGTCGACCAGAGAGCTCAATCTTTTTCTTTTTTTTTTCTTTTTTTTTTTCTTTTTTCCCTTCCCCCCCTGTATTTCTGAAAGCACTGTGTCATTGAACCAAGAAAAATGTGAGGTAGGTTTCTAAAGCATTCCTGTGGCCTGGAATTCACTTGACTTTATTTTTTCCCTTTTTTTTTTCTTGCACATACCCAGCTAGCATTGAAGTGAAAAATACTTCACCATTTGGGACCAACTGAGTATGTGATACTCTGCCAATTAATTGCTCTCATTTAAACGTCCTTCAGTACGCATCTGGCTAGGCATGATATTCTCAGTTTCACAAGGTTGATTACATCTTAACAACAGTGCCATTTGCATGTTCTCTTTCCTCATGCTCACGCAGTCATTCCTCCCGCTATTTGGTGTACAATCTATGACAACTGTTTGCATGGGGGGAAAGAATGATCTGTTCGTTTCTGTTACTGTATTTTAGAGCAATGGAACAAATGGGAGGAAGATGGAGATGACACTTCTGAGGATGGTGTCCTAACCGCTCAGTTTTACAGTATAGAAATCAGGAGCTCAGCATGTGCTAGATGTTTAACTTGGGTCAGTCTAGAGAAATGGGCACCACCAGCTAGGAAGTCATCCCATCCTGTAACAGGCAGCTCAAACAAGTGTCATGAAGCAGCTACTCAGGCAGGGGAGGTTAGGAGAGCTAAATGAACAAGCTCATCTGTGGACACATCCAGGTGTCCTCACATGGAAAGGTTTCTGTCTTTGTCCTTTTTTCATTCTTTTTACTTCTGCACATTCCACAGCTGAAGGGAGGCAGTCTCCAAACAGCTCCTCTCCGACTTGTCCTCCGAAATATTCCAGGATGTTGAGAGCTCTTGCATTGCTGCTGCAGCAGTGTTTTTTGTATATCAGATCTGGATTTCTTTGGAACAAAAACTGTTGACTATAGCACATTTGAGTGAGGTCTCGTGATATTCAAGATTTATTTCACTTCCATTTGGAGTCACATTGTAGCTAAGAACAAATTGACCCAACCCATCACTCAAAACTTGTTTCAAGTTTTAAACAGAGAACTCTAACTTTTTTTAAAAATAATTGCTTCCCACCAGTTCTTGTTCATTTTCTTGCCTTGACATTTTTGGCTTCAGACAAAAGCAGTAACTATGATGATAGAGGTTTGACTAACCATGCTGTTTGCATGGCCAAATCTAGGGTTTCACATGAGATATCATTCTCTTGGAATTTCCAGACTTTAGCAGGTCTGACACTAGTCTGTATGAGCTTATTTCAAAGTTTTGATTGTGTTTCAGGGACAAAAAGGTCTCGTCTTAGCCTTGGGGTTCGTTCCATCTAGCTGTCCTTCGCTCAGTTCTAATTTTCTTTAAATAATTATTTTGAATTAAAACTTTTGCAATTGGTGAAAATATCTTGGCTGACTGCAGAAAAAGGAAAAGAAACAAGGTAGTTGTTATTGATGGATGGGGAAACTAAACATAGCTACCTCTTATAGCTGGGACCTCTGTGACCAATCTGTTAATCAGATATTTGTGTGAGGTCAAATCCAGTGGGAAATTAAAATTGTAGAGCTATTCCATCAATATTTAATCTGGAAGATATTTCACATAGGTAGGGCTAAATACAAACAGAGGTATAATGTTTTATTTCTATAAAACAAGATTAAAAATGGATTTAGGAAACATGAAGTTGGTAAGATTTGGGTGTACTTTTGCCCTTTTGTACAAGTAATGAGTTATTTACATATGAGTAATGGCTTGCATCTTCTTGGAGGACTGGCACAAAAGCGGATATCCTCTGTAGTGTTCATGTTGGAAGCCAAAAGGATGTTGTGTGGAGAGGCAAGATAGTGTCACCAAAAGCTGCTTGTATTGATGTGTCAGTGACCTGTCAATATCCTTTAGCAGTCTTGAAATAATTCCTGTCCAGCTTTGCACAGAAAATGCCTGCTCAGATCCCCATGATTCTTAACTATTCAGATCTCCGGAGCAGCTTTTCACCAGTAACCAGCAGAAAGCATGTAAACAAGCAGCCTCTCACATGCTTTTGGGTTGGGTTGTTAGTTATACTGAAGTAGTTGCAGATGGAGGTACAGCTGACAAGTTCTCGGGCCTGCTAGCAGAACGTAAGTGATGAACTTGATACCTCTTCCGTTATTATATTCCCACTGCACACAGCTTTGGGGGTCGTCTCACCTGAATGCGGCAGTAGTGGCTTGCCCGGTCATCCAAGGCTTCTTATCCTGGATGACCTAGAGGCTGCAAGAGAGCCTGATTAAGCGAAGAGCTTCAAGGATACTATCGGATGGAAACCTGCCAAAGGCATGGATCGGCTGATGCAGGCAGGGATACTGACAACTTGAGTGCAGATTTCACACAGTTAGAAAGATAAGAGGATTATGAGTGGATTAAGTCTGTCATTTATATATATATATAAACACACACACGTTATGTTTTAAAAAGTTTTAAAAAGTTATTATATATTGTGTTATATATAATACTATATTATATGAAAATACGTTAAAATATGCATAGAGCCAAAAATAATTCTGGGAAACTGAAAGTAGTTACGTTTTCCAAAACTTTATGTACATGTTAAAAATAATTTAGAATATATCGTTATCTAATTTATACTGACATCAGGTCAGAAGACTTCATTGGGGTTAATGGAAATGCTTCACATGTCTTGACATAAGAGTCAAGAATCTTTTAGCTGTTAAAGAGCTACAATACACAAAGCTACTTGCCACAGCCCTACAGAACTTGTTTTTTTCACATCCATAGTACACACAGTTTGAAATTCAGAATCCCCTAAATGGAGGTTCTAACCTCTGCGGTGAACTAAAGAGGAGGGAAGGGTGTTAGTGTGGAGTAAACGTATCTTGCTTTAGTTACACAAAGTTTGCTGCTCCTTGCCTTCCGTCCTCCATAGTGGAGAAAGAACAGCGGGGTCATTGGACTCAAAAATGCTCAAGAAGTAACTCAAAAGCAGAGAAGTTTTTAGTGTTGCTAAATTCCAGAACCTATAGAATAGCCAGAGTAGCCCCATAGTTCTGGCTGCTGGTGCTAACACCTTCAGGGAAAAAAAGCCACAGTTCCTGCTTTAGATCACACTGGCATATTCTCTTTATTTCATGCTCAGTTTTGGAGGCTAAGATTTAACCATTTAAAATGTATTAGCAAATGTGTTGTGCATGATTCTCTTTGAAACAGGCTTTGGAGATTCCCACTGTATACTGGACTCCCTAAAATGACTGGTTGCATTTGGATTCTAATTTACTAATAGTAGCAGGCAAATACACTAGTGGCATTTTTAAACTTTTTAAATTCTGATTTTTTTTTGTTTTGGGTTGTTTTTTTTTTGGTTTTTGTTTTGTTTTCTTTCAGCTTATCTTCAGTCAAATCAGGTCATGGGCTGGGGAGAGAAGGCAATCGAGCTACGCTCTGTGGAAACGGGCAATCTGGAAGGAGTATTCATGCACAAGAAAGCACAGAAGCTAAAATTTCTATGTGAAAGAAATGACAAGGTACAGATATCACTGCAGAGTGGTGGTTTAGCAAAAATGAGTCCTACTTGATAAAGAAACTAAGACCGTTTAATTTTTTTTAACTTTGCGTTTAAATTAGCTGTTTCTTACATTAGTGTAAGTTTCCCTTCCAGAGCAAACGCAGACCCCACAAACCCCTCCCTATAGATGCCCTGCATTTTGGCAAAGCTCTTCCCAGCTCCTGTAGCACCAGCCCTACAGGTTCCCCGCGAGCCGGCCGGGCTGCAGCGCAGCAGATCCACCGGAATGGGCTGCCGAGCTGCTGGATCCCCATAATGCCCAACTATAAAACTGCCCCTCCGTGGCTACCAAAACTATGTGCAATTTGGAGCAGCCATCGAGGAAAAGAAAACACTCTAACAGTTGAGATACCACAAGCACTGGAGTATAGATAATCAAGTATGATTTCTTGCATATGGCATGGCAGTGCTTGATAAATGTTTTCTGAAATCTGTTTAGTCCCGCTGTTATATTTAGAAAATTTGCCCCCAGAGCTGTTTAGTTGTTTAAAATGTGTTCTCTTGCCCTTCCAAATAGGAAACAGGAATATACTAGAAATATATCATAGTTGTAGTAAAAGCACTGTTTTGCTTTTAAAAAGTTTCTCATGGAATTAAAATTGAATTGGAATCTATACATCACTATATTTCAGACAGTACTGTTCTCTCAGATTTCCTATATGGGTAAAAATATTCTCATAAATGTAAACTGACAGCTTTTTTTTCGTTCTTTTTCTTTTCAAGGTATTCTTTGCATCTGTACAGTCAGGAGGCAGCAGTCAAATTTACTTTATGACTCTTGGTCAAAATGTTCTATTCAACTGGTAAATCACATCAAAATGAAGGATACTTTGAATTCCCTCTAGCTAGCAGTGTAAAATGCTTGGAGGTAATACAGACGAATTTGCACTTTTTACCTACAAGAATCCTGACATTATTAACTTATCAAAATTCATATCCTTTCAGTTTGGAAAGAATTCCATTTTCCTGTCAAATTATTGCAAACATGTTTAGTTCCATTTTCTAAAATGTGTTGCAAACAAAGATGGTATTCACGGTGTTAGCAAAGAGCAACTGTAATGAAGAATGTAGTCAATATAACCAAGTCCTCTGCTATGAAAAGTGTACCTTTTTCTGTTTTCTACAGTGTAATACAGCTAGCTTGAACTGAAGACTTTTTTTGGATGACAACAGTGTACATAGATATAAAACAAATCTATTGGGTGACAAATTGGAATCTGCTTTATTTTGAATTTGTTTTGTCTTGATTTACATTTTAACAAAATGATTACTGTTTCAGCAAAACATATTTGTCCCAGGCTTCTAATCGGTGAAGAGGGAGCTAATGCAGATTTGGACACTGAGGGATTGTATCTTGTGCTAGGCAGAATGGGTGCCTCTCGTGTCAGAGCTGGAAAAGCAGCTGCTCTAGACGTGTGTCCCAGGCGACCGATTTTACAAAATACAGGGGACAGGTTTTGTGTTTCTCAGGGCTGGATGTCTCAGCCTTTAGACACAGTTACTGTAGAATGTATTTGTAAAAATAGTTTAAATAGTAGTTTGTCAGAATCATTTATGCATAAATGCATTATGGACCCAAACCTTTAAATTTTTACTCGAACAAGTGACCTATATTCACGTGAGTTGATTTAAAGGCACTATCCTTGTGTATGAGGGTGCAGGATCAGGCACCCTTTTCCTCCCTTCTTGCTCTTTAAGGCTGAAGTCTTCATGTATTTGTGTGTAAATGTTTCCAAAATTGATATCAAGATTAACAAGTGTATTCTTAGTTATAAAAATATCCAAAGAGTTGATATATAATAAATAGAAAATATAAATAATTTCAGGTGCTTTGTATGCTAATTACATCTAAACAAAGCTGCATCCACCAGTGGTATTAGTGCCAGTGTTTCTGCCATAAAACTGTTCTCAGGGGCTTGTGACTTGGCCATAAAACTATATAAACCTTCTAGTATTAAATTGTAGGGTTTAATGCAATCATCAGCTGATGTTTTCGGAGTGCTTTGAAAATGTAAAGCATCGAATAAAAAGCAATACAAAAGAACTCATTCCAGACGTTATACAATATGGATGACACTGTATGCAAAAGTGAAATCATTAACTACAGTGTTCGAAAATGGTTATTTTACTTGAAATATGTGATGCTGAAAGGTGCAGGGAAAGTGTATTGGAATATCTGGTCGTCTACCTCAAGGATGATGATTCAAAATTGACTACGAAGGGGTGAAATTAAAGTCGTTAGAACTGGTAGCTCTTTTGTACAGTATGTCAAGTTAAGTTAGTGTTAGTAGATGTGTTGTGACTGACACATGCTCGGATCGAAAGCATCAGCTCCAGAACTGGTATTCTTCTCCAGAACTGTGTTCTTCAGCAGGGAAATCAAAGAATGAACCCAGCTGGGGAGTAAGCACCGTTTTCACTCCCAGTGGTGGCACCTCAAGTGCTGCAGGGCAGCCCGGAGATGCCAATGCTGTTGCCATGTTCTTTGGCTACATGGAAGACTGCACTTTCCAAAGTTTCTAACTTAGCACTTTTCATGACTTTATCTACAATTGTGTAGTGTTTTTTATGAAGTATTTTCCTCTTAAATGTTTTAACTTAGAAAAAATACAAGCCTAAGGACATGCTAAATAAAAATATGTTGTAGTTGCACACTCAGAGGGGATTTTAATGCACACAAGTAATCACCTTGTGCACAGACTTAAGATCTGAGTGGTGTACAATGTCCAGGAAGAGCTGCATCCAATCAGCAGGTCTCTATTTAGTAGTATTCCTGCCTGGATTCCTATGCTACTGAACATGGAGCCTGTTGGGTCCATCTGTCACCAAAAAAACAAACAAAAAAAAACACACACACTTAAAGAAATACAGACAAAACGTATTTTGGATTATTAGCAAAATATAGTTTATTAGCTTTGAACTTAAAGTAAAAAATATGAGAGACTGTGAAGAAAAAGACAACGCTCATTGTGTACGCCATGGGTGTACAAAGCATGTTTTCAAAACTGCTTTTGCTGCAAGCAATCAGTGATCCATGCTGCCATATAGTATTTTTAAGTGTGCTTCTCATAGCTGTCTCTGCATTACATGGGAGGCACATGAATTTTCCCTTCCCCTCTGATTTTTGATGCCCACAGATGGGTGGCAGCTTTTTCCTGATCCTAGGCACCACTTTGGAGGAGTTAGTAGAGGACATGGGCACTTGGAATAGCCCATGCCAAGCAATTAAGGAAGCAAATGTAATTAAACTTTTTAAATGTATATTATTATACCAGGAAAAAAAATGTAGGAGTAAGTTAAAACTGTAAAGCTGTTCAGCTGTATACCAGGAAAAAAAAAAAAACAGTTTAGAGAGGGAACGTGCATTATTGCATTAAGAATTTAATCTCTCATTCTGCTCCCTTAAGATTTTTTCACATTATAATTCAAGGCTTTTCATGGCTTTTTTTTTTTTTTCCCCTGTGTAAAATTGTCGGAGCCATTTGGTTTGGGTTACATCTGTGTTTTCATATTTACACAATCAGGCCCATAGAGGTAAATGCTTTAGAGGTGGGATTCCAAGTCATAATGGTGCAGCAAGAAAAAGAATGTTTGTATAAGCCCATCAAGAGAAAACTAGAATGGCTGAAGATGAGAAAGAGCTCAGAGAAGTTGAGAAAAGTAATTGGAGAGAAAGGAAATGACTGATGAGAAGGGAGAAGCTGAAGAAGGTGAAGAGGAGAGTAGCCAAAGGGGGAGAAGGAGATGTCTAGAACTGCCTTATTATAGGTGCGGGGGAAAAAAAAAACAAGAGATGCTAAGGAGAGGAAAGCGACCAAAGAGACAGGAAGGTATTTGGAGGAACTGATGGTCTGAACACTGAATGAGAGTTCCGAATAACTGTTAAAAGTGCAAAGCAAAAGTTCAAAGGCTGGAGAGGAAAAAAAAATCCAGTGACCCAAGTTGTTAATGCCATAAGTCTAACTATGCAAAAAAAATATACATTTTCTCTTTTTATTGTGAGGAGTTTCCATAGCTGTATCCTTTTGCTAACTTTTAAAAGCAAGGTGTGAACAGCTGAAATGGGTGTTTTTTGTTCTGAAGTCACTTTGATGCCAATAAATATTGTAAGTGGAGAAGATGAGAATTTTAAGGATTGATATATGCAGTATCCTAAAGTCAGGTAGTGATATTTGACCAGACAAGTCTATGCTAGTTTTATATTAATGAAGTATTGTATGGGACCATTCTCATTTAGGAATGGAGAACTCTATTTTGCAGCCTAAACCTAGACATGTGACTTTCAAAACTGGGAACAATGCAAGCTATGTACTGTACATCATGTATTTTTTTTTATTATTCTCTAATGTCCAGATTGTACATTTGAAACAGTAATAAAAAAAATCTGAAAACAAAAACAAATATCTTGTAAAGCTCTGTTGTATTGGTATAAGCCTACTGTAAAAATCATAGCAAATTTTGTTTTTTAAGCTGCCTCAGCCTGCCCAGGGGAACATCTGGCCTATTCTGTTCGCCTATAAAACTGAAACGAGTGTGTTTCCTTGCAGCGGATAAAGATGTGGAGGTGACGGTGTGAGCGATGCTAGTGAGGGTGGCAGCCTGTGCTGTGCTGTGTGCTACTGATGAGTGAGTTTCTGTGTGTCCGTGCGCTTTGTACTGATGGCAGCAACGGCACCGACGGCGGCCGTCGCGGCCCAGCTGGCAGGGAGCAGCACTGCAGCCACTGCAGCCACTGCCTTTTTTGTGTTTATTGGGCTCCGTGCCAGCTCAGCCCTTGCGCTTTTGCTCAAGTGTGCTCACTGGGTTGGCTTTGCAGCGTGTCACGTGTACGGCTGCATGGAACACATTGTAACGGTACCCTCTGAGAGCCCAAGTTAGGAAATTAAACACTGAAATCAGTGCTGGAGTTAGGGTGAGGGCATGAAGCAAGATTTCTATGATACCTGTATGTTTAATGAAGATGTCTCCTTCCGCAAGGTTTTATCTATCTCTTCCAGCCTAAGAGGAAGAGTTTCCAGTGCGCAATGTTTGGAATGGGATCCGTATCGGAAGTTTAAAGGATAAGATGGTTGCTTGGCTGAGTAGATCAGCTTCTTTAGAGAATCATTGTTATTTCCATTAAAAGTTATTTCTGAGCTTCAGCAGCACCGCATACTTGGATTCTTCCACCCCGGGACCTCAACGGAGTGTCTCCTCGTTAAACATACAGAGCTTTTGTTCCAGTTCAGTTTTGTTTGTGCGAAGAAGCCTTTTTTCTGGATTTTTATCTGCTTACCTCCCACAAAATCAGCCACAATTTAGCAAGTACAGCAACAAAAATGCTGATTTCTGGCTTTGTCATCCTGCACTCTTCTGTAAATAAAAAATACCGTAATTTTTCTATGCATGACTAGTGGAGTTGGAGATGATGATAACAGTTTTTTCACAACATTAACAACAACTGAGATGATGTTTTCTAGCACCAGCATGGAAAAATCTTGTACCTGCCCCTATGTGTGTGAAAAGACATGTAGGTGATGATTAAGGATTTACTATTTTCAGATTGCCCTTACCTGTAGATAGGGGTTACCTCAGTAAAAGGCAATAATACATGCAGTGAGAAGTGCTGATTTTCCGAAGAACGTGTTTTTCCCCTTGCTTTTAGCACTGTCATATTTTGCACAGTTTCCGTCTTCTGTGTCCACTACTATAAGTCCTTTTTTTTTTCTTTTTTTTTTTTTAGAGAAAAGCAAACTTCTTCCTTCACCAAAAATAGACACATAGACAAGCAGGCTGGCTTTTCTGTAAAGAGAAAAAAAAAAATGGTAGTACAAAAATTCAGGAACCAGAACTTGGAAATTGGTTGGCAGGCTGGTCTACTGGACTTTGTACCTTTTGTCATTCCAATGAAAAGGAATCCCCATTTAAAACTTCTGGTTTTGGCTACGTTATAAATTTAAAAAGCAATATTCAGTTTAACCATGCATTAAGCTGTCTCCCCAGATGCCAGCAGATCAGGCTGCTACAGCCTCGATGTCCTGGTCCTTGAGTGTGACTTTTCCTACAGCTGCAGTTCCGGGCCCAGTCAAAAACTTGCAATAAATGTGGTTACAGCTGGGTGGTCAGCTAGAACTATATACACACAATGCAAGTTACCTTGTACACCACCCCAACTAGGCATTTTGTATTTACTTTCGCCACTGGAGCTTAAGTGAAATTGAATTTTTTTTTTGAAGTAGTTTGTTCCATGGTACCAAATTGTTCTGGGTGAGATTGTTTCTCCACCGACCATCATAAAGGGTAGCTTACAAATTCAGTTCCGTATTTAGACAACTGTATTTAAGTTGAATGAAACATGAGCAAACCTGCAATCTCTGTAAAAAGGCTTTCCTATAGATCCTAAAACCTGCGCAATACATCAAACTTCCACGTAACAAAAGCACTAGCAATGTTCCTGCTGATCTGCTGATAGTCCATCCATTTCTTAAACTGCTCTTCCCTGTGCCTACTGCTGCTGAAAGGGCGAGAGGATGGGTAGGGTAATCACCCCAAGTCTTTTTTTTTAGCAATGTTTAATCGCTTCCTGTTAGTTTCAAGGCTGCGTTGATAAAAGCACCAAGGAGGTAACAGTGAAACATACTGGAAAGGTTATTTTATTTTTTGTCCCCCCAAAACTTTTTGTGGCAAAAATGTGTAATTTTGTGCAAAAGCAAACTGTTTTTTTTTTAACCTAGAGAACATGGTATTATTTTGTGCCTTTTGTTTCTCTGACACCTGAAATGGGGTATTTTCCTCAATATATAATAAACAGACTGCTCCTCGCAAGCTTTACTATAGAGGCTAACTGGCAGGGTGGTTCAAAGCCCATTGTGTACATGAACTAAGAGCACTGGCTCCTAAATATTGCTGATGATTTCAGCCTATGTATTGATCCCACAGAGGCAAACACTGATACAGTTCATCATTTAAGTACATGCTTGATCTTAGGTGTGTGAATAATCCTGTTGTCTTTAATGACTTTATGCTCTGCTGGAACAGGTTCAACATGACACACTTGTGATTCTGACATAGTCAGTAGTCACAAATCATCACCCACCATTAATGATTCTCCAATCCAAGCACTTCCAGAGAAGTTCATTTCAATTTCTAATACAGCTATGGATGTTATTCCCTTGGTCATGTGTGGCAAAGTAACCACAGCAAGAGAAACTGACAGAGTTGGTCATAAAAACACGCTGTCCCTAAATGAAACTTGGCGCAAGGGCAGATTCTTCCTGCGCTGATAATTTTGTAGAGCAGAAAGATACTTATTCTGCTTCAGTTTTTAAATTGGTATGTTAGCTAGACCTCTGCTGGTGAGCAAGAAGATAACAGGAATAAGTGCATAGAAGGAGCTACCTCACTGTAACTGATGACTCATTTTCATAGGTCAAAAAAGTCTAAGCCACAACCCCCCCGGGTAAGGCTTGTACGTAATGTGAAACATTAATCCTATACAACATTAATTAAAAAGTGTTTGGATTTTATTCCTTTCTTAATCGTAAGTGCAATTTTATCAGTCCAAACAACAGATCATGTATACACCAAAAAAAAAAAAAAATCTAATTTCATGCCACACCCTGGCTCCAACATAAACAGAACTGTTTCAAATGTTCTCTCTAAGGACTGCATTATTACATAAACCCAAGCATTCCAGCCCAAAGGCCAATACAGCTTGTTCCTATGCCACAGCTTCTAATTCTCCAGTCTGTTTTAAAGGGTGCAAGCAACAAGTTTTCCAGTTTCCCTAAGGCGAAGTTTCCAGAATCTCAAATGCAGTGGACTGAGAACACAACCAATCCCAACTGTGAGCCCTGAGAGCTGCTTCTGGCCCAGCATTTGAAGCAGTGCTAAACTGCTGCCCAGCTTCGGTCTGTCACATTTTCAAAGGACCAGCAACACTAAAAATAGAAGAAACAGCTTTTCTTCTTCCTCTTCTTGTCCTTTAAGCTTCACCTTTCTCTCCTCACTCTGTACCACTGCTTCATAGCCTGTTACATTTCAAAAAGAGTCAAAAAAAATCAAAAATTTTATTTTCAAAAATAAAAACTCCAATCATTTATACATGGCACCAAAAAGAGCCAAATAATGAAGGGATATTAAAATCAGGACCACTTCAAGCAAGAGGCAAGGAGGACTAAATGCAAAGTCCTTAATTCCCGAATTTCCGTTAATGCCGTAAAAGACTGTGATATCACAGAGGAGAACAGGACCATCCTGAGAGCTGGAGTCGTGGTGGGCTGAAATTGAACAGTAACTCGTGAAAGGTCACACACCTAGGGACCAAGAGTAAGAACTTCCCCTAACATGTTGTTAGGACCAACAAACAGAGAAAGACATGAGTGAATTTTTCTAAAGCAGGAGGATTACGACTATGAACATGCTGCAAATGTGGGGAAAAAAAGGAAAAAAAAAGAGAAAAGGATTAACTCAACTTTAACTTTAGGAGGTAGCACTGAGACGTTTCCACTACAACTAGGGATGTGTTCACCCTGCTACGGATGCAGGAACGAGTGATTATTAGTCAAATTGAGGGAAGAACTGAAGGAGAAGCAGGTGCAGCAAATGGTCCTTGGGATGATCTGGGGAACGCAGAGCCCACTCAGAGCCCATGAGGCGGGAAGGCCGTGACTTGTTCGCCCAGCAAAGATAAACAGCCCCCG